GTCCAAGGTTTCTTTCGTGGTCGGCTTACTGCGGGGAAGGGCTTTGGACTGGGCCACGAACACATTGAGTATCGACCAGCCTAATTTCCTGGATTATGTGAACTTTGTGGAGGATCTGAGGAGGGTTTTCGACCACCCAGTGGACTCCGAGGATGCAGCTCAGTGCCTTCTCCGCTTACGACAGGGCCAAGCGAGTGTAGCGGAACACTCGGTGGACTTCCGCATTCTCGCCGCCGAGTCCAGGTGGGGAGAGACGGCGCTCAGGGGAGTTTTCCTTCATGGACTATCCGAAGCCATGAAGGATGAACTGGCAACCTGTAATAAGGCCGGCTCATTGGAGGAGCTGATTAAACTCTCGATCGGGCTGGATAATCGGATGCGGCAGAGGCGACGTGAGAGGAACTACAGGTTCCAAGGGGCATTGTCCGTGACGTCATCCTCTTCCAGCTTCCGCCCTCGTGCTCCTGCCTCAGCCTATCGGGACGAGCGGATAAGTCCTCAGGCTTCGAGTTCGTCTCCCTCTTCCACCTCGGAGGTGGAGCCTATGCAGCTCGGCCGTGCTCACCTTTCGCCACAGGAGAGATAGGCGGATCAGAGCAGGCGAGTGCCTGTACTGTGGCCGCCTGGGACATTCCATTTCCTCCTGTCCAGTTCGGTCAAACTGGGGCGCTCGCCAGTAATGGTTGGGATACTGGTGAGCGGACCCGAGCCTTCTCTCAACTCCCTACCAAGACTGTTGTTGCCTGCGTCTCTCTCTCTGCACTCTCGCTCTCTCTCTCTCTCTCGGCTCTGGTGGACTCTGGAGCAGAACAAAATTTCATGGACCCTGAATTTATAGCCAGAGCCCAGATTCCCTTGGAGATGCTAGAGTGTCCGCTAGTGGTCAATGCTCTAGACGGCAGCTTCCTGGCCAGAGTCACTCACGGGACCCAGGAGCTACAGCTCATCCTGTCTGGTAATCACAGAGAGGGACTTCAGTTTTACGTTTTTTCCTTCTCCGCAAAACCCCCTAGTTCTGGCCCACCCTTGGCTCAAAACCCATAACCCTCAGATTGACTGGGCAGCGGGGAGGATTACCACATGGAGCCCCTACTGTCACGCTAACTGCCTAAGATCTGCGCTACCCCCTGGAGGACCTCCTCAGGGCTACCACGAGCCTTCACCAGATCTCTCCTCCGTGCCCACCGCCTACCATGACATTGGGGAGGTGTTTAGCAAGGCTCGGGCCCTCTCCTTATCACCTCACCGCCCCTACGACTGCGCTATTGACCTCCACCCGGGCGCGTCGCTCCCTTCCAGTCGGTTATATAACCTGTCGAGACCTGAGAAGGCATCCATGGAGGAGTACATCTCACAATCTTTGAAAGCTGGAATCATTCGCCCGTCCTCATCACCACTCGGAGCCGGATTCTTCTTTGTCTCTAAGAAGGATAAGAGCCTCCGGCCCTGCATCGACTATCGGGGTCTGAACAGCATCACCACCCGGAACAAATGCCCTCTGCCACTGATTAATTCTGCATTTGAACCCCTGTCTGCAGCCACAATCTTCACCAAGCTTGACCTTCGCAACGCATACCACCTGGTGCAGATCCGAGCAGGGGATGAGTGGAAGACAGGGTTCAACACCCCCCTCGGTCACTTCGAGTACTTGGTCATGCCGTTTGGACTAACCAATGCCCCAGCAGTTTTCCAGGCGTTGGTAAATGACGTACTCCGGGACTTCCTGAACCGTTTTGTGTTCGTATACATAGACGATATCCTCATCTATTCTGCGGACCTTCAGGAGCATCAGCGCCACGTTCGGTTGGTCCTCCAGCGCCTACTGGAGAATAAGCTGTTTGTGAAGGCAGAGAAATGAGAGTTCCATGTGACTTCAGTTCCTGGGATTCATCATTGAGAAGGGTCAAGTGAGGACGGCTCCAGAAAAGGTCAAGGCTGTAACTGAATGGCCGACTCCCTCCTCCCGGAAACAGCTCCAACAATTTCTGGGGTTTGCCAACTTCTACCGCCGATTCATCAGGAACTACAGTAAGCTGGCGGCCCCACTCACTGGGCTCACCTCTTCCAAGACCATATTTGTATGGACACCGGAGGCCGGTCAGGCATTCCAACTCCTCAAGGAACAGTTCTCCTCTGCCCCCATCCTTATCCAGCCCGACGACACCCAACAGTTCTTCGTTGAAGTGGACGCCTCTGATACAGGCGTGGGGGCCATCCTGTCACAACGTTCGGACTCGGACTCTAAGCTTCGCCCTTGCGCCTACTATTCCCGCCGGTTGAACCCAGCAGAGAGGAATTACGATGTTGGGAACCGGGAACTGCTGGCAATTAAGCTGGCTCTCGAGGAGTGAAGACACTGGCTAGAGGGGGCTGTTCATCCGTTCGTGGTCTGGACGGACCATAAGAACCTGGAGTACATTCGGACGGCCAAGCGGTTAAACTCTCGCCAGGCTCGGTGGTCACTATTCTTCGGACGTTTTGACTTCTCCATCTCCTACCGCCCAGGCCACAAGAATACCAAGCCTGATGCTCTCTCTCGCCAGTTCTCTCCCGAGGGTCACTTCTCCAGTCCTGGTACCATCCTCCCTGCAACCTGTGTGGCAGCCTCTCTCACCTGGGAGATCGACTCAGTGGTGCAGGATGCTCTCCGGACCCAGCCAGACCCCGGAGGCGGGCCTCCCTGCCGCCTCTTTGTTCCCCTGTCCGCACGCTCCCAAGTGCTCCAGTGGGTGCACACCTCCCGGTTCTCCTTTCACCCTGGCGTCAGACGCACCATTGATCTGCTTCGGAGAACCTTTTGGTGGACATCGCTGGAGGCAGACACTAGAGCATTTGTCCTCGCCTGCTCAACCTGTGCCCGCAATAAAACGTCACACCGACCTCCCGCTGGCTTGCTGCAACCCCTCCCGGCGCCACATCGTCCCTGGTCCCATATCGCCCTGGACAGGCCACAGGCCTGCCACCCTCTCAAGGAAACACGGTCATTGTTACGATGGTTGACCGCTTCTCCAAGGCGGCTCACTTCCTCGCTCTGCCCAAGCTTCCTTCAGCTCAGGAGACGGCTGACATCATGGTCAGCCAGGTGTTCCATCGGCATGGGATCCCTGTGGACACTGTGTCAGACCAAGGCCCGCAGTTCATATCGCAGGTCTGGAGAGCCTTCGGCCGGGCCCTCGGCGCAACCATCACTCTGTCCTCTGGGTTCCACCCCCAGTCCAACGGGCAGACAGAGAGACTTAATCAGGAGCTCGAGGCCTCCCTCCGCTGCGTGGCAGCATCGAATCCCTCCAGCTGGAGTACTCACCTGCCTTGGGTCGAATATGCCCACAACTCCCATACATCATCGGCTACTGCTCATACTCCATTCGAGGCCTCCCTGGGTTACCAACCACCTCTGTTCCCCGCCCAGGAGGTTGAGATAGCCATTCCCTCAGTTCAGCTCCACCTTCGTCGCTGTAGGAAGGTGTGGAGGGAGACCCGGGCCGCTCTTCTCCGTACGGCGGAACAAAATAAACGTTTGGCGGATCGCCGCCGCATCCCTGCTCCACATTACCAAGTCGGTCAAATGGTGTGGCTCTCCGCCAAGGACATCCCTTTAAGGACCGAATCCCGGAAGATGTCCCCCCGGTTCATCGGCCCTTTTGAGGTCCAGGCCATTATCAATATGTCCGCGGTTCGTCTGAAACTCCCCTCATCCATGAGGATCCACCCGACGTTCCACGTGTCACTGATCAAACCGGTGTCCACCAGTGCCCTGTGCCAAGACTGGCAGACCGCCTGGAGGCTCCCATTGAGGGGGGGGGGTACTGTCAGGATCCCTGTCTGACCCATTGTGTGTTAACCTCTGTATCTCCTCTCCTCATGTGTCTGTCTTTCCCCTGTTTGTTTTGTTGTGCCATGTGCTTGGTGTTGTTTTCTCGGGCCTGCCTCCAGACACCTCCCATTGCCACCGCCCTGATGGATGCACAGCTGCGGCCAATCTGACTCTTTACAGCAGCATATCAACCATGGTCTTGCAGGCCTGGGTTGTCAGTCCGCATTGTCTTCTGCCTCGGTAGCCTCCACCGCCGTTCCGTAAGTTGAACCCCGTTGTTTCTTCCTGAACTAATCTCTCTCCTCTATGCTACGGGTGTAGAATACTGGTCGATCTGCCTACCCTCCGGTGTCGAGCCACGGGACATCACACCGTCGATCTGCCTACCCTCCGGTGTCGAGCCACGGGACATCACACCGTCGAGCTACCAGCCCTCCGGTGTCGGACCACGGGCTCCACACCTTCACACACCTTCAAAATAAAATCTGTTACATCGGACTCTGTCTCCTGTGGTCTTGCGTTTGGGTCCTATCCGTGAACTCCCGTGACACCAGGTTGTAAAATACCAACATTACCCTTAAACATGTTGCAGATTTGTGAGGCACTGTGACAGATTGTTTTGTGGAATAAACTTTTATAATTAGAAATAACATATTTTATGTATAATAGCAAACTTCAGATAGACATTACTGAGTTTGTTCACTGACTTTATGACTAGGACTGCCCCCTTTTAGTCGATTAGTCCATTAATGGGTTGTGTTGGTCTTAGTCGAAAATATCTTAGTGGATTAGTCATTTTCAAATGCTTTTTCATGCTAAATAACTTTTTTCCAAGCACATCTCTGTTAAACATAAGATTTAAAGTGGTGCTTTTGAATGATTCTTCGTGGAGAATCTCAGTTTTACACATCTGTCGAATCTGTAGAAATTCTTCGGTCCAGGACAGCCCTATTTACAACTCTTCTCTGCTTGTGTTGCTATAACACTACATCTTAGCGTCCATCCTGTAGTAGCTACTTGTGACTACACACAGTAGCTGCTTCACAGTACGTGATGTCATAGTTCTTTTCTCTGTGCTTTTAATCACTGTGACAAACCTCAAATCATTTAGTTTTAGAACCAGTGAGACAAGATCCGGGTGATCTATGTGTTACCATATTGTTGTGAACTCTCGTGTCTGTGACAGAGGCCTGCTGATATCCTTGGCTGTCAGTCTGATCTTCATCCTGCTGCTGAGGTTCACAGCTGGGTGGCTGCTGTGGACTACCATCATCACCATCATACTGCTGCTGGCATATGGTGCGTTGTGTCGGGATGATTCACATCTTAGCTCGTCCTTTACTGCCTTGAGGAGAACTTCCTTATTTCATGAAGTGTGTGTGTGTGTACAGGTATGTGGTTCTGCTCCGCGGAGTTGACCCGGCTGAGACACAGACCAGGCTCTGATGTCACCATTGTAGAAGTGGGGCTACAGACTGACCTGCAGGTCTATCTGCAACTCACACAGACATGGATCATACTATGTAAGTCCGTCTGCTTTGGGAGATTTCACAGGAAGTCATTGGAACATAGATTCTGACTTTTGAATATATTCTAGAGTTTTCTTCTAAATGTATCACTTTAATCTCACAGAATAGCAGATTTTTTTCCCCCCTAAATGTACGACTTTCTTCTCATGAATATGTTTTTTATATATACCCCCTTACACCGGCTCCTTGATTTATTTTTTATTTATTGTTTACATACAAATGTTCCTAATACATAGTGTGGGTCTAATTCAACCAATTGGTCAAATAATGTGTGCTTGTGTACTTTATAAGGGAACTTAATGTTGTATTAATATCATTGTGTACTTTGTTTTTATTTTGATGATTTGGCAACATTGTTTTTTTTTTTTTTTTACTTTCATGCCAATAAAGCCACATTGAATTGAATAGTAATTCAGACTAAGAGAATCAGAAATAATTTCTATAAATTTCCAAACTAATCTTTGGGGGATTAAGAAAGCAAAAAGGTAAAAAACTGAACATAAAACGAGCATGACCTCTTGTTTGTGTTTGTCAGTGGTGTCTCTGGGGGTGACAGAAGCTTCCATCTTGTTGATGTTGATCTTCTTGAGAAGAAGAGTGCGAGTGGCCATCGCCATGCTCAGAGAGGCCAGCAAGTATGAACTCTACAGACATCTGCAGAAATCAGATAATAAGAAGAAAAAGCAAAGAATTGTATGATGACAGGTTTCTCTGTTTCAGAGCCATCGGTCACATCATGTCCACGCTTTTCTTTCCAGTCATCACCTTTCTCCTCTTGACTGTTTGCTTCTCCTACTGGGCGGTGACTGCCGTGTATCCTTCACTGTGACGAGAAACAATAATGTTAACTTCTTGTAGAGCAGAGAATTAAAATATGTATTTGTAAAACTCTTCAGTGTCCAGAGGATAGGAAATGTTATTTCTAGTTCATCAACCAGCTTGTTAGTTGTGTCTTTAACCAGCACTCTGTGGGACCAGTTACCTAGCGTCCTCAGGTGAAGCTGTCTACAAAGTCATGTCTCCTGATGTCAGCTGTCCCCATGCCAACAGTACTTGCAACCCAGAGGTACAGTCATACAGTAGTATTACTGTAGTAGTAGGTGTATTGACTTAGGTTTTAGGGCATTGTGGGGTACTAATCAGTCAGCTGTTAGCTCTGTTACCCAAACACACTCTGCTGCTAACTAGCTCTCCTTCTACTGACATAAGACGGGCGTCGTTTTAGTTGCGCTCATCATTTGCTAAGCAGAGATAACAACTCTCCTCTGTTCTCGCCCCTCACTTCTCTGTCAGACCTTCAACAGAACCAACATCTCCAAATCAGTGTTGTGTCTGGGCTCTCAGTGTCTGTTCGCCTTCTACGGTGGGGAGACGTCCTACCACCGCTACCTCTTCCTGCTGCAGCTGTCCAACCTGCTGGTCTTCCTCTGGCTGGTCAACTTCAGCCTGGCCCTGGAGCAGTGCACCCTGGCCGGGACGTTTGCCAGCTACTACTGGGCCAGGAGGAAGCCTCAGGACATCCCGCCGTGTCCACTCTTTTCATCGTTCAGCAGGGCCATCAGGTCAAGACCGAGCCTGGGATTCATCATGTGTCACATTGTATGCAAAACAACACAGACAGCCTTGTGCGTAGCAATGTATTGAGCTCTTCCTCTGTCCTTCTTCAGGTATCACACGGGGTCTTTGGCATTTGGAGCTCTAATTCTTTCAGTTGCCCAACTGGTCCGGATCATACTAGAATACCTGGAGCAGAAACTAAGAGGTTTACACGCAAGCGCACTAACACGTATACACAGTGTGACTTACTACTACTATAATTACTACCACTATCACTGTACCAATCTTGTACATGTGTATCCATGTAGGTGTTGACAACAGCCTGTCCAGGTTCATGATGCACTGTCTGCAATGTTGTTTTTGGTGTTTGGAGAAATTCATACGCTACATGAACCGTAATGCTTACATCATGGTGAGTTGATTAACTGCAATGTGTAAGATGTGGCCAGAGGTATCTACTGAAATGAGCATGCTAACCAGCTAACCCTGGCCTGTCCTGTTTTGTAGTACCACTAGTACCTCGGGAGGCGATAGTGAGTGACTATAGCGTCCAATCTGTCCTCAGTCCACCACGAGAGGACCAAGAAGTAGAGCTGCCCCGATGGCTTGTCAATCACATTTAACGTTTTAATAGCTTGTTTATTCGATTAAATCCAACTCGCTCCCTTCGCTTGTTCCTCCCGGCCACCACGACACAAGTGAGGAGAGTGTGTGATGGCTCTGGGAGACGGACCCACAGTCATCAGTTAGCTTGAATTCAGCCAGTGAAAACCCCAGCTCTGGTTCTGATCACATGGGACTGCCTCGACTCCCTGCCGCAAACTTGCTGTTGCTGAGGTCACACAGCCCAGACTCAGCGTTCCACCAGCCCGCTGTGATCCCCGGCGCTGGGGTTTTCGCCGAATCCGAGCCGCCACAGCCACCAACTGAAGCACTGTCCCCCGGTGCCGCCGCACGTTCCCCGGGGAGATCAAAATGAAAACATGAGACGTTCCCTCGTCTCAGCTACCCTAAACCCAAGCCAATAACCACACTATCAAAGCGTACACGGATCGTTCAGCCCCGGTTAGTGTCACAGTAAACACACAGATGGCTAACTAAACCACAGGCCGACACCACATGTGAAAATTACAAGATGGCAGTGTTTTATTGATTGTCTCTCAGAGTTTCAGCAGTTTGGTTGAATTTTGCGTGGTAGCTGTTTTTTTTTTAAACTGATGACTGTACTAGAGGTGAGACTGCTGCCCCCTATTTGTTTGAAGCATGTGGCCACATCTTACACATTGCTCCGTATATAAAGTGCTTTTCTTTCTAACCAGAGTCATATGAATATCACTGTTGACACTGTCAACAGCCCTGTGTTGTTATGAGAGCTGTGTTCTGTCTCTTCTCCACTAGGTGGCGATCTATGGTAAGAGCTTTTGTACCTCGGCCAGAGAAGCCTTCTTCCTGCTGATGAGGAATGTGGTCAGGTGAGGCTTTTTTCACAGGCTTATAGTTTGGACACATGTTTGTGATGTTATTATAGTCTTCATAAGAGAGGCTGTTTATGATCATTAAACCCTGTGAACACACTCTGTGGCTGACTGTGAGCAGCACTGATACTCTGTTCAGATGAGAGGTGACTGTGTCTCCACAGGGTTGCCGTTCTGGACAGAGTGACGGACTTCCTGTTGTTTCTGGGCAAAGTTCTGATAGCAGGAGGAGTTGGTAAGTGACAGTACACGGCTCAAGTCTGAAGGCCTTCACAAACGTAGAAGGGCGTGACGAATAAATTATATGAAAATGTGAAACACTCACCAAAAAATATGTTGCATCAAAACTATTCATACCAGCTGCAATGCGAATCAGCAAAGATCCCGTTGACCCAGAGCAGCTTCTTTATTGACTTTCCTTTTAGTGAAATGCTCTGAGTGAGTTTGAGTTCCCTCTGGTTAACAGTTATATGTACATGTCAATGGCTTTTATTGTGAAAGGTAGGAGTGATCTGGTCTGCACTGCCTTTGTCAAGGTTGAAATGAGTTATACATTTTGCCTTCTTGCCTCCAAATTGTTGTACACGTTTGTGTACATTTTGATTATGTCCCTTCCACACAACAATATTGTTTGATGTCTTTATTCAAGTGAAATCTCAGAAAAAAATTGACCTTTTTCAGAAAAAATTTGGTTTTTGGTTTTTATCTAACTTTTCATGTTAAATGTTTCACACATTTCAAGCAACCTGCAACTTATTTCTGAATATAATGATATGGTTCAGAAAAATAGTACAGAGATCAGAGAAGACAGCAAGAAGATGTGTGTGTGTGTGTGTGTGTGTGTGTGTGTGTGTGTG